GGCAGCACTCGTGCCCGGACGTCTAGATGCTGCATCCGTTCGGACGTCCGTGGCTGCTCTGTCTCATCCGCTCGGATTCACGCGTCGCCCGCGCCAGCTCTGTTTCTCGCGCTCGCATCCGAACCGCCCGCTTCAGATCCGCTGCCCACGCTGCTCGGTTGACTCGTCCTCACCTCTTCCACACCGGCGTGGTGCCTGTCTCTTCTAGACGTACCGGAAGACTCGCCCCGCCTCTTCCACAACAGCACCGCGTGGCCTATGCCTCCTTCCCGCACCACCAGAGTTGGCCTGTGCCTCCTTCATGTGTTGGTGGCCGCGGCACGGTCCTGCCCGCCCTCACGGACACCAACGCCGATGGCCTGCACTTGCAACATGAAGCACTCGAATGCAACATACATTTGAAACAGATGAAACATTTGGGACATACGATTGCAACATGTGTGTAAAACATATGCAACATTGAGAAAAAAAATAATTGCAACATGAAAAAACAATTACTGCAACATAAGACAAACAGCTGAAACATTTGTAACATACTGTTGCAACATATGTGTGAAAACATATGCAATATTCAGATAAAAACCCAATTGCTACTGAAACGTCTGGTAATAGATGAAACATTTTGAACAAACGCTTGCAACATGCTTCTGAAACGCTTGCAACATGTGCAACATCCCCTGATCTACTTTTTGCAACATCCATAAGAAACAACTGCAACATACCTTTGAAACGATTGAAATACTTGAAACATACGTTTATAATATAGGGGAGGAGAAGCCTCAGCCGGTCGATTCCAGTCGTCGGGGTCGGAGCGGACGGCGAGCGGCGGTGCACGAGCACCACCGCCACCAGTATCGGGCTTAGCTTGGCGGCGATGGTGGGGGATGGAGGGCGAGGAGCGCCTTGACCGCTGGGGTGGGGGGAGCTCGGTTGCCGGGGTGAGAGAGGGTGCCGTGCCGGGGTGGAGGAGAGCCGCCCACTCCCTTGCATTACCGTCGTGCCACCTCCATGGATCTTGCCATGGACGAGCTCATTACTAGAGAGGACGCTCCCACCATGAAGGAGTTCGCGAACAAGTAAGAGTGAGTGACCCCATCGGAGGATCCATGCTGCGCCATGCCGGGCTCAAGCGCTGCCGTCTTGAAGGGCTGCCGCGCCATGGGAGCACAAGAGAGAGAGAGGAGGGGAGGGGAGAGGTCAACGAGTGTCTGCTTTGGTGAATACTAGTGGGAACTAGAAAGAGGCTAATGTGCGTTGAAAAGCGTGGATAAGAATGATTGGATAGGGAGGAGAGAGACCGATGTTGAGAGAGCATCTGACATGCGTCCGATACTTTTAACGGCGTCCGGACGCTCGTACAATAGTATTACCAAAATCGATTTAACCGAAATATTCGTAATCTATTCAACTTTAGCACTATTCAAAATGTATTCAGTTTTAAACTGTATAGCCGAAACTCTTTTTAACTATTGCATTAAATACTAAAAATGTGCCCATTTGCATATTTAAATGTATTTCTATAAGATTTTATTTGTTAGAAGTACTATTTGCTGCTTTTCCTTTTGTTTTATTACATGATCCATTTCTTGTAGGTGCTTTCCGATATATTTATGTTGTTACATTATCTCTTGCAGAAGTATAATATGTATTCTACGATTGACAGATTACCGAAGTTAATAAGTGATTTACCGAATCGATTTCAATGAATTAACCAAAGTTAATAAATGAAATATGAATGAAACATCCTCAATGCATGCATAATTTTATAGTCATTTAATTTCATGACTCATATAGAGTTGTTAATCGCGTCAAGGGAGTTTCATCACCTCTTCTATCTTTTTTCTTAAAAACGCTGTTATATCATGAAAACACATATTTTTTTTTATTTACAGTGTCTATATTAATTGGTAAGTATAAAAATTATCTATAATTTTATGGTTAGGACTGTCCTAACAAGCATGGCGATGAGCCAGGTGGGCCTGACCATGCCTAGACCGGTATGTCAGCAAAACTCATAAGCCCGGCTCTACCTGGTCTCTTGATCATGAGAATTATGAACGAGAGCCACAAGATTGGACGGTCAGGGATTGGTTGCACGATGAAGTGGCTTGCATAAACGTCTTCTAGGGTGTGTTTGGTTCGAGAAGTAAGGTGGTACATCTTCTTCTCACTCTTTACTTTTTTATTTAGTTTGTGGAATGAAATAAGTTGATCTATTATCACTCTATTTCTCTCACAGGCTAATAATTAGTATATGCATAATGAATAGATTAATTTCACCAAAATTTATAAGATAAACTCATGATGCATCACCTCGTGAAGCAAGATACTTCACACACAAACACACCATTAAAACGATCACGCCGATGCGGCTCAAATGAATCTACAAAGATTCGTTGGAGAGTCACTGCCCAGTGCTTACCCTGTCAAAGAACAAGGGTGTGTGAGTGAGGGTTACTGTCTTACTGATCAATGTTTTTTTCCTCTTTACAGAGAGAGAGAGGAGAGAGGAACAGTATAGAAGCAAAAAGTCTATGAGCTTTTCATTTTGCTGCCTTTGATTTGATTAACCCAGTGCTCCGTAGCAGTACCACAGGTTTTAGCTATGCGACACGAAATGAAAATCCGGACTGCTGTGACGTGAAAGATATGATAGACTATTAGAGAACGGGAAACCGGTGGTGCTCCCGAGGGGGTTAGTTGAAGAGATAACGAGGACTAAACAAATTGTGGGAAATGGTGCAGAGGTTAGTACGGAATTATCAAAGCAGGTGAAGAAATTTGCATCCAAAGCTCCTGATCGTCTGTGGCGAGGCAACAAGGCGTTCTCGTCGCACCAAAGCAAATGCGTAGCCGTGTACCACTACAACATACTCTTTTCATACCGCAAATAGTTTGTATGCCTAAAAGCATCTCAAAAATCTTTTTTAAACTTATCATGTAAATCATCATTTGTTTAAATAAAAATTATTCTCGATATCTTTTCATCCTCCGATAACTTTTTTCTATATCTCGTAGGTAGTTTAGAGTCTCACTTTCCATCTTTAGCTAGCAAAATTTTTGAAATATATGATGATTGTATTTGAAGATCTGATTAAAGAAACTATTTGGAGTGTATTTTCCACTGAAATATCTATTTCTACCAATTAGAAAGAGTATAAAGGGACCTTTGGAGTTGCTCCAACATGTACAATATTTGTACAAAGTCTTATTACTTTCTTATCCTGTTTTTACACACCATGATCGCGAGACATCTGTGCCTCCGTCTTCTTCCCGTCTGGCCTCAAAGCCTCGATGGACATGTGCCCTCAGTGTCTCTGCGCTCGACGACTAGGCGGCTTCGTGCCCTTACGCTTTGGTGGCTTCGTGCCCGGCGACTCTGCACCCCTGCGCCTCAGTGGTTCCATGCCCGACGCCAGGCAGCTCCACGCCCCTTAGTTGGTGCAACACGCCTCTTGCCCGTAGAGGGTGTTTCGGGGAAGACCCCACGAACATTCAAGGAGCTGAGCAAAGCTACTTTTTTAGGCTCCTTCAATCTCATTTGGCTTTAGAAAGCGCAAAATGCAGGAGGACCAGGACAGAACAATAACCTTTGATCATATCTTATTTGGTTGGTTGTGACCTGAAGGCCGAAGCTGCTCCAGGAGCTTGTCTTGCTGTCCAAGAGCGCTACCAAATGGACACTGGAGAAGCTACAACATATTTTTTATCTTAACAAGGTGCAAAGGTTAACATATCGACAGGTACTCTAGTAAGACAAAAGTTACAAACATGTAAATTTCTAGCACATATCTGCACTACTTTAGCAGTATGTTTCAGCGAACGAACAATGTTTTTCTCTCATAATAAATCAGCATAAGTATCAGCATAAGCTAAATTTCAGCGAAACGAACAGAGCCAATGGAAAAACTTTTAGGTGGATGGACACTCAGTGGATGAGTAGTAAAAGAACAGGAGAGGTGAGAGAATGAAAGAGAAGAACCTACTTCAACAGTATTTTTCAGTAAAAGAACAGTGTTTTTCTCTCATAACAAATCAGCATAAGCATTAGTATAAGCTAAATTTCAGTGAAACGAACAGGTGCATCAGGTTCTAAAATAAGATGTAAGGTGGTGTTGGACGGATTAGAACGCACGATGAAGGTCTAAACATTTGGTTTCTCCTCTCTCTTCTGCACGGATTAGAACCCACAATGAAGGTGCCCTGCCCCCTGACCTTGAGCGGCTGAGCCTGCCTCAGCGCTGGCCACTGTGTGCGCGGAAGCATGGGATGGATGGCGCCCGCCTAGAGATTGGTATGGTCCAAACGTCACTCCTCCTCCAGTGGCGGTGGGGACTCACAAGTCCCTGAAATCATTATGAAATGGCCGCAGTTCGAGGCATTGGCAACCTCTGCTGCCCCTGCCGCCGCTGGAGTGGACGGACCCTCTCCTCCATTTCCTCCTCCTCGCTTCGCCCAAACACAACCGGTTGCTTTCTCAACCCACCACCTCTTCCCTTCCTCAATCACCTCACAACGCAACCCCTGTCAAATCGCCCCGCTGATCAGGCCGTGCAAAAATCCAAACTTTTTCGACAGGACCCTGCTGGTGCTAGCTATACTCTTTATCTCGGAGGCAGAAATCCTCTGCTTCCGCTTGGCTTGCGATGCTTGTTTGAGTGCGCGGGCCTGCGGTGAGGTGAGGCGACAGCGGCGCCGGGCGGTTGCATGGTGATTGATGGTGGCCGATGGAGAGTAGACGAGGAGGGTCGGCGGCGGAAGATGCGGGCGGGGCGATGCCGAGCTTTGGGCCACCTCAGCACGCCATGTATGTTCCCGCGCCACCGCTTCTTCATTTGCTCATGGTTTCTTCCCCCGTTCACCTATCCTCCCGTTTCTGCGTGCTCCTGACTTCCTGTGGTTGTCTCACTTGTCCGTGCATGAGCATGAACATCATATGATCCCTGATTATTGTTGATTACTTTCTCGTCAATTGATCATCGCACTGCGCAGCGCAGCGCATGGATTGCGGTGGTGATTGCCTCTGCTTTCCAGGAGGAAAAAGTCGATTGCTTTTTTTTCTGATTAGACTAGACCTTCACTTCATGTGTTGTAATCATTGGATGATAACTTTGTTATCTGTAGTAAGGTTTCTGTTGGCCTTATGCTCCGGTAGTGCAACTGTGCAAGGACTGAGATGAGCAATGGTTTTCATTGATGTGCCTTGCTGCCTCACTTCACTGCACTGGCCTAACAGTTTGGCAGCCTGCCCTGGTCAACTGTCAGAGGCTTGGCTTGTTGTCACTGATCACTGGACCACATATGCATGTCCCCAACCAGGATACTGGAGATCATCACGGTGGTAGGGCCATATCTTCATGATAGCAGAAGAGGGGCCTAGGGTTGGGCATGCGTAACCCAACTCATATGGGTTAGTGAAAGCTTAGTAGATTCGGTATACTTCGTGGGATAGATTGTACTGAGCATCTCAAGCAGTATATATTAGAGTACACCGACTTGCAGGCAGGTTGCCTCCCTGATACATATGCCAATACTGGATTATAAATCCAGACTAACATCGCTCCCATGGTCGTAGCGGGAGCATCGCAAACGATCAGACTGGAGAAGAAGCTGAAGACTAACACCCCACAGTCATTGCACCATCGTGACTTGAGTACAAACCGATGAGTAGCTCATTTTTTTTTTTAGAAGACTTCACCGGAGGGGGGAGAGCCCCACCTGAATGATTTTCCATAGATTCCGGCAAGCCGGTAAATGGAGGGTGCCAGGCACCTAGAGTTTACATGGTCTTAATCGTACAGGGCATTAATTCATGACAAATAAATTACACCAGTGATCAGCAATGGAACGGTCTTGGGAACGAAGGCGGCTGCTCCATAGGCGACATGTTTCCCTGCAGCTGTACAGGAGGCGGCTCAGACAGGGTTGCTGATGGCGAAAGACGACGTCGTGGCGATGGTTCCAAATCTGCCAGCAACACAGTAGTATCATCATCGGGAAGTGCTTAGCCGGGATATGTGGTGGCCGTGGCATCTCCCATAGGTGAGTTGGCTCCGGAAGGTTGACCCCAGTCCAGCCAATATGATTCCAGAAAGCCGAAGGAACCAGGCAGCGGAAGATGAGGTGATCGGCAGTCTCTGCCGCATTACCACAGAGTTGGCAAATGTCGTCGTCGAGGACATGCTTGAGGTGGAGGTTGTAACGGCACTGTATGCGGTTGTTTACCAATAACCAGCCGAAAAAACGTACCCTGGGGGGTGCTCGATTTCTCCAAACGAAGCTAGAGAAATTGCACGGGGAGCCCATGGTCTTGGATGCCTGATACACGGCTGAAGCATGGAGAGTTCCCAGCTGGCCGGCAAATTTGGAATATCTGCTGTCCGGAGCTTGTGTTAAAGTGATGTTGCTGATCATTTCATTGAGGGCATGCAGCTCTTCACTTGCTTGGGGTGACAGCCTGGAGACCAAGATCGGTTGCAAACCGATGGTGAGGACCTCGGAGGCAGAGGCATCCGGCTTCGTGCAGTGGGAGAAAAGGCAAGGGAAGACAGTAGCGAGAGGCGAACCATCAAACCAAGAGTCATGCCAGAAGGACGTAGTCCGCCCGTCGCCCAGCTGCACCTTGGTGATACACCGGTAAGCTGGTAGCAAGGATCTGAGGGCCGACCAGTGACTGCCATCACCATGGTCGGACATGTTGAGGATGTCTTTGTGCTCTCTGACCCAAGCAGCCCAAGCTGACTGTTCAGGATGGTGAAGACGGTGATGAGTAGCTCATTTGAATGTCATGTTAACATAGAACGACAAAAGAAAATTCATCTCTGCATGCTACAATATAAAGTATGGGTTTTTTACTGTGCAAAACTTTTTTTCTAAAAACAAATATATATAGTTTTTTATGATCAATATTTTATTTTGATGAACAATGCCTTTTCAGCCACACAGATGTGAACAGCATGCAACCTTCTCGAGTTACTGACTTTGGGGCACTTGCACAGTCAGCTGGATTCCGAATAGAGGATCTTGCTAACCTTAATGCAAGTATGTTTTCAGTTCTCAATCAAATATGCTAGAAATTACTTCTTATATATGTTCTTCTATTGGTCTGGGAAGTTCAGTCATGTGTAATGTGTATTTTTCTAGCATTGGGAATATATGTATCTACTCATATGCATATGGCCTTCCATTTTTAAATCTGATAGCTAGTTGTACTCTGCCATTCAGTTATTGGTATGCTTGCTCACAGCAATTACCAAAGGTATAATTTCTGTTTACCATGTGTACATGTAAGCTGTAAAACCGGGATTATATTTTGAACGTAAGTAAAACTGGGATTATAATCTGTAGCTGCCACCACAGGCAGCAGAGGTCTCACCTAGCAAGCATTGCCACTGTGGCTGTACACAATTGCAACCCCTTTCATACAAGCAGTGGATCAGTTCTATGGATGTAGATGAACTACTAGCTTTTCTGTTCAATTACCCATAGTTTGAACGATTCTCCTTTATTTTCTCATATTCAGATGCTTTGTTCAATCTGAAGCCAAATACCCATACAATTAACAACAGTCCTCTTCAGTTTGGAAGTTACGGGAAGGTATGCAGGCAGGCCACACACTAAAAATTCTGGTCACTGATCAAAATCCCGTTAATTTAGTGATGTTCCATACTTCCATCCATATCAGGAGTTGACACAGATTTGTTTTCCTATTTGTAGCCTATTTCTCCTCATATAAATACTACTGAAGCAGCAACAGCTGCAACAAGAATTGACCCTCAGTCGCTAGAACAGCAAACAGGAGCACAATCAAATCTGGTGGCATTACCAATTGGTAACATCGAGAATTGGGGAGAGTCAGCTATGGCTGGTAGCCCTATGACTGACACATCTACAGATCCAGACACTGATGAGAGGAACCAGATGGTAGTGACCATTCTCAGTTCAGTCCTTCCTTGGTCTGTTTTATTAGATGAATATGATATGCTTGGTTTTTGCAGAATATTCGTACTCAGGTTTTGCTGTTTTGGAGGTTTCTGTTGTGCTTAAGAAGAATGTTTGACTTCGAAACATGCATGTTTATTTTTCAGTTTCATACATGTGCATAAATACTTTGAACGGATTGTAGGCATTAAGGTTCTCTTGCACGAATAATATGGATGGTGCATTAGATAAAGCCATTGCATATACAAGTATGATTTGCTCCCAATCTTTGACGAACTATTGCATGACTGTTGGTCAATGTCTAACTGCTGGCAGGATTCTTTTCATATTTGGAAGCCTGGTGTATGTTCATCATCCTTAACGAAGTGATCAATTGAATTACGCTTGCTATTCAACACACTTAAATGGATTTCTTGTTGGAAAGAATGCTTCAGTGTTTATATGCTTATGTTTTTGTAACATTGATCAGCATATACTAAAGTATACCAGTTTACTAATTATCTGCCTATCAGTTTGAACAAGGACTGGTTGCTGGCCCCACAGCTTCTGATTCTAGTGACAAATCAAGGGACAAACTAGATCAGAAGGTACTCTTATCACTATATTATGATACACTGATCATGTGTTAAACCACTGCTGAATGTAAATATTATTTATATATTTGTTAAAACAGACACTTCGGCGTCTTGCCCAAAATCGTGAAGCTGCCAGGAAAAGCCGTTTACGAAAGAAGGTGTTTTGGAACATACTGAATTTTCGCTCCTTTCAGATTCAATTTATCTTCATCCTCTTGTCACCTAGTGTGGTACCAGTCTTGCCACTACATTTTTTTTTTTTGAGAAATCTTTTCATTTGAACAGAGTATTACATATTATTTTACACATGAGCTCTATAAGTACTTAGTAGACTATGCATCCTGACATAATTGTGTGGCTACTGCTTCTTGTACCTGCAGTTGTAGATCACATTAGCATTTTTATGGCTATGATACTTACCTCCCCCGCCCCCTCTTCAACTATTTATCTTTTGTTGCATCATTTTGGTAGAATTAATTTGCACCCTTCACCTTATGTTTTCTTCAGGCATACATCCAAAACCTTGAGAGTAGCAGACTGAAACTTACTCAGTTAGAGCAAGAGCTTCAGCGGGCACGTCAACAGGTCTTTCTATTTACATTCATAATTTGAAAGTTGTTTCTCGAATTAAACATGCTGCACATGTGTTGACCAATGTGTCATTTTTTCTCCGTCAGGGTATTTTTATTTCGACATCAGGAGATCAACCTCAATCAACAAGTGGAAATGGTAATACTACACTCACATGTCTCTTTCTAAAAGGTCTACTGTTTACTATTCATTATGGGGCTTGACTTCTGTGCCCTTTTCTTGGGTGCTCCTTGGCTCTTATGAGTTATGGATAAAATAAGGACACAGCTAACAAATGAAATAAGCTATGGTACGGTAGCAAGACATACTTCAGTTCCTAAAGAATTATTATGACTTCCTTAACATTAGAAATTTACAAGCAGTTTTACCCTTAAAAGCATCGGAATTTGTTTGTTTATTTCATCATAGTGCTAGTTCCCTTCTATGTTGATGCTATCTGATCTGTAGGAGCTTTGGCATTTGACATGGAGTATGCACGCTGGTTGGAGGAGCACAACAAACATGTTAATGAGTTGAGGGCTGCAGTCAATGCACATGCTGGCGATAATGATCTTCGTGGTATTGTTGATAGCATTATGGCGCACTACGGCGAAATTTTCAGGCTCAAGGGTGTGGCAGCTAAAGCAGATGTTTTTCATGTGCTGTCTGGGATGTGGAAGACCCCTGCTGAGAGGTGTTTCATGTGGTTAGGTGGCTTCCGATCATCTGAGCTTCTTAAGGTACTAATCTAATGGTTTTATTTTGAATGCACAATTAAATTTCTTGACCTCTTGGCTCCTGCCCCTGAACTGTTTGGTTAGGTCCCCTTATGGGAGTTTTGATTCCAACTGAAATGTTTGTTCATTCTAATCTGACATGTCTAACTGCAAACCTGTCAATTGTACTATTGTAGTATTTAAGTACCTCATACAAAATGCAAGATGATTTGCGTTAAAAAAAAAAATGCACGATGATAAACTTCTGTCCTGTACTTTATTCCGAGACAAACTTCTGAACGAGATGCTCATGTTCTCATCTAATTCTTTCAATTTTATACCAACATTACTGTTGCAGTTACTGGCAGGTCACCTAGAGCCTCTTACTGATCAGCAGCTTGTTGGTATATCCAACCTGCAACAGTCCTCCCAACAAGCTGAAGATGCTCTTTCTCAAGGGATGGAAGCATTACAACAGTCGCTTGCAGAAACTCTAGCATCTGGATCCCTGGGCCCTGCTGGACCTTCTGGCAATGTTGCAAATTACATGGGACAAATGGCGATGGCTATGGGAAAACTTGGCAACCTTGAGAACTTTCTACGACAGGTTTGTCATGCAAAATCATGGACTAGCTCATTTCATAACACTGTGTTATCTTTATTTTCCTTAATTTGCTGGCTACTCTTTGAGGTCTTTTCTGTAGACCATATCAGCTATATTCTTAAATTCATATCTTTAAGAATAAAATTGCTGAGCAGCTTATACAAGCTTAATCTGAAATGACAAATGAATTATTGCAAAGGTTCACGATTATCAAAAGATGTCGATAGATAATAGCATACAAAATCAGAGGCACAGATTTTGATTTGAAGTGATCTACTTTAGCATATATCTTTATCAAAAGAACTTTAGCAGATGTAGCAAGGAAGTACATAATTTTTTAACAATGTCATCTGCAGGCTGATAATCTACGGCTGCAAACACTTCAACAAATGCAACGCATCTTAACCACCCGACAATCAGCACGAGCCCTACTTGCAATAAGCGACTACTTCTCTCGGCTGCATGCTTTGAGTTCTCTTTGGCTTGCCCGTCCAAGGGAATAAATTCAATTAATTCATAAATAGGATAATTTTTTGTACTGTCTCTAGTATGTCCATTAGTTTCTTCACATTGCTCATGTGTTAGTGAGATATTTGGATCTAAGATCTTATGAAGGGATGACATGTATGTGTTCAAGTGAACGGTCAGTTCATATTGTAGGCCATCATGGGTTATTGGACAAGTTTGTAACAATTTTGGAGAAAAAAACAGAGTTGTAAATACATCCGGAATAATCTAAGATCTTATGAAGGGATGATATTGGAGGATATGATCGACGAACAAATAAGTGCAACATCACTGTTGGGTGATACGGCATGATTATATCCAAGCTAAACAGTTGAATCTGTTTGCAAAGTTATGTTCTTCCAAAGAAATCACAGTACTGCGTAGGCCATCCTTCATGAACAATCAGCAATCATGTTCTTTTAGCATGTATATTGGGGATAACTCATGATGAATATGAAGGATTTAACATTACAATGCGAGTGATAAAATGTGATAATATGATTTATTGGAATAGCAAATTGCTAGTTGCACAAATTGACCAGAACTAATAATTTTTCTGAGTCACAAGTGTGTTTGATGTACATAGGCAAGCTAAGGCCTTTATCTATCCTGAACCTGATCTTAAATAAAGTGTTCTGTATAGACAATACACATGGAACGAACGGTGTTCACCTTGGAGCAACTCGTTCTTGAATCGGATGGGGGGCTACTGCCAGGTCAATGGCATCAACAGCTGTCCATAGCTATGCACCAGCTTTACCACGCTGTACAGGGGCTCGGAGGGAAGCTCTGTAGATGGCGTCGGACTTCTCAATCCCATCAAAGATGTAGCCGAAAGGTGGCATCATGACGTATCTTCCTGAACCAGGTGCAAGGTTCAGAATGCCATCCTCCCATACCACTCGGCCCCTTGAGATTGTGATTTCCACCATTCCCTACACGAAATGAACATTAGTAAATGATGCACCCACAAGTTGCAAGTTCCACACTAAATACTGCTGATTCATGTGTGCAAAGAAGAACCAACCTTTCCTTTCCTGCCCTCGTAGACATTAGTGTTGGACCTCGAATGGTGTGTGTGAGCACCCATCACAAAACTCCTTTCAGGATTCAGGATTATGATATCTGCGTCAGATCCTTCCAGGATTGCTCCTTTCCGAGGGAATATGTTGAAGATCTTGGCACTGAAAAGGGTTGAGTAATTTGTATCATTGTTGTTTGCTAGTTGAACAATGCATTTTGATATGACAATCTGGTTACTGCTAAACTAAACCCTGGTTCAAGCAGATTTAATGTGTAATACCATTCTGTGCTTGTCACTCTGACATAGTCGGTTACAGAAATCTTGCCAGTCTCCTGTGTATGGTGCATAAATATCAGAGTAGAAGAACTGAATAGAGAACCTACAGTCTCCTGTTAATTTCTTTCAAACCGTTTCACAAACTGAACTTACCACCATGCTGTCCCAAATTATATGCATCCGTTCCTCAAGACCTGGGTTCAAGTATTCAGGAGAGAGATGTCTCAAGATCTCCTATACAGATTATAGATCCTACTATCACTTTAGCATTTAAGTCCAGAGGCCCTACCATTTACACCATTGGGGATCTTCCGAAAATCATCAGAACCAAAAGCTTTCTGTGTGGAGTTGAATGTGCAGTGATCAGTACCTACAAGCTGCAATAAAGTACAGTTAGATGTTTATGTAACTATGCAAAATGCAACATAAGTTTCCTTCTCCATAGCAGGTAACGTAAACATTGCCTCTCAGCAATTAATATACCATCTATTCTATGAAATCACTACAGTTCCACTGGTGAAGAAAAGCTGAAAGACAATATGCAATTTGTTTGACTCCACAGTTCAGTGTATGACACAAGTGTGTCACCTGTAAAATTCCCGATGAAAGAGCAGCTTGGAGTGCTTTACCATGCCCTGCTTCCCGGATTGGAGGACTCATCACATACCTAGAAGCATCGTATGAGATAAAAATAATATAATCCGAAAAACATTACTACCGAGTTCCCATTTACTTTGAAGCAATTGTGAAGTCAGGATCCCAAAGCCAAGAATCATCAAGCACTAGTCCAGAAACCACAGGTTCACCAATGACTCTCTGCCCTGCAAAGTTTTTACAATATAACCTAGTCCAGTTACTGAATATTGCTAAATTTATGTCAAGCGAGTATTCAGTAAATGATCTATCTAAAGAATCATTCAACAATAGTCTCATTTAAGAGTAGTTCAGGATCCAAAGTAGAATCCAACTAAATTCTGGAAGAAAAGATGCCAGGTGGCTGACCTTCTCTTTTAGCCTTGGCAATCTCATCCATCGCGTCGATGCTCATCACATGAACAACGTACAGTGGCGTATTGATGAACTTTGCTAAACGGATTGCCCGTGCAGTTGCTTCTCCTTCTAACTGCAGTGAATAAGAAAACAAAATTATTTCACTTTTGAATAGCTTAATGTGAGAATTAATGACAAAAATTCCTGAGGACCCTAATTATTATTATTGAAAACCTGAACATATCAAGGAGCATAACAGAAGAAGAGAAGGTTGAATTTGGGATTACAATTGGAGGTCTTGAGAGAGCATGCCCTTCTGGACCAGTTATCCCAAGGTCAATCATCCGCTGTTGTCCCTCGGCAACAGCATCCCCATTCTCTGCATGAACCATAGCAAGGGCACCAAGCGACTTGCATTTCTGTAGGCCTTGCAGGAGGAGGTCATCGGTGACCATCAAGGAGCCTTTATATGCCATGAAAAACTTGAAAGAATTTATTCCTGCAATTTCGAAATTGATATTTAATAGGATCTACTTCAAAATCTAAAAAACATGTCATAAAATTGTAATGATGTTGTCCTTTTTAAAAAAACTGATTCTCATGTCGATGCATAGGAGTTGCTTTATGTAACGAAGTTTGATTTAATTTCTAAAGAAAAGAAGTAACAGTACAGAAAAACCAAAGTGTATCTACTCTGACCATGTTCCTTAACCATCACTTCCATTTCCCTTGCAACCTCATCATTCCACTTTGTAATGGCCATGTGAAAGCCATAATCCATGGCAGCTTTTGCTGCCTTGTGCTTGTAGGACTCCAAGCCTGCAGTCAAGTTGCCGTTCACAGGAATGACAAAGTCAATATGCATCGTCGTCCCACCAGCCAGCGCCGCAGCATGGCCGCTGAAGAAGTCATCTATGGTCACGGTGCCCATGAACTCCATCTCCAGGTGCGTGTGAGGGTCAATTCCACCTGCAACATTCACCGGAAGGCTGATAAAACTGTGCAACAAGTAACAGCATATTGTATATCTATTCACCACGAGAAGACAGTAAGAATTCACCTGGCATGACATATTTTCCTGTTGCGTCGATTACTCGGACATTATCAGCACCAACCTAGAAATGACATCAAGACACAAAAATTACGGTGCCTGGTAGAGATCCCAAGCTAACAAATTCATCGATAATAATTTAACAAAATCAAGTGCCAGGAATCTCAAGCGCACCAAGCACATGGGTATAGGTGGCGAAGCAGAGTGGCGCCTCGTGGCAACAGAGCGACTGAGCGAGCGACACGAGTGAACCAAGTCGAACACGCACCGGGATCCACAGATTCGGAACCAATCAATCTCGCGTAAGCGTAATAATCGATCAAGCAACTCACCGGGATGTTTGGGCGGACGGCGACGACGACGCCATCCTCGATGTAGACGTCGGCCTCCTCCGCGCGGTGCGCGTTCACCACCGTCCCTCCCTTGATCAGGATCCTCGTGCCGTCCCCTCCGCCGCCGCAGCCGGCGGCGTCACCCCCGACCGCGCAGAACTGCCACGCGCGCAGCCGAATCCAGCCACGTAAGACGAGGCGACCAGCCAGAGCAGACAAAGCATGCGACGACAGAATCACAGAACAGAGTCAAAGCACACCCACCTCGTGCGCTGGGTGAGACAACGCGCCGGCGACGGCTAGCAGCGGTAGCAGCAGCAGGAGGAGGCGGAGGGAGGGCGCCGGCGCCGGCGTCGCCATGGCCTGCGCTGCCGGCGGAGCGGAGTGGAGAAGCAGAGCAGATGAGAGAGTCGCCGTCGCAGCCCGCTTGGCGTATCGCACGCGACGAGCTATTTAACAATCGACACAAGCAGATCAGCGATTGGTTGGGATTTGTGACGGCGCAAAGGGCTCCCTCCGCCTCATCCAATCTGATCGGATAATTTCATCCATTCCAGGCTTTTGACTACAGCTCTCATAAGAACTGCGAATCCGATCGGCGCAACGCATCATGTTCACAGTCCATCGTGCTCACGCCACACCAAAGTCAGGCTCCGGTCATGTGCGTCACGATCACCCAGACCCAGGGGCAACTGCTGCTGCACGTGCCTTTGACATTGGCCGATCAGCAGCCAAAAAAGTCCACCCGTCGTAGAACACTTCGCAGGGAAAGGGAGTATCCATCGACTGGCCAATTCACAGTAAGCAGTGCACACAAGGCACGGAAACCAACACGTGTTACCTAAATCAGTTTCGAATCATTCGTCAGCATTTCATCAACGAAGAAAACAAAGACACATACCCAGCTCATCAGGATCGTGGTACTTCAGCAGTTCAAACATTACAAAGACTGAAAGACACGAAGATTTCAGTGAAAAGAAAAGAAACAGCACTGTCAAACTGAAACTATGAGGAGGGCTGCAAAAACGCTCAGTCACCGGGCCACTGAAAGTTTGAAACTGCCATACCCGTCCGTCGCTGCCTCAACAGTAATCTTGGTATGATGCGAATCCGCTTAGCTTCTATGTCGAGCTTCTCAGCGTCGTCACCAGTGCTTGCCAAAGATGAAGAACCCTGGTCGGATTTCGCTCTCTGAGGTCATAGAACTGCCCACGTATTCAACTCTTCTTTTGTTCAGAGACACTTCGACAGGAACGTCAATGAGCAGTAGGCACTGTCACAGTGAGTCGACATATGATGAATGGTTAGGTAAACCATCCACCAGCAGTCACTGTGCTCTGACAAGATGAGCTGCTTAGCTGTCTCCCTTCAGCAGGTCAATGTTAGCAACCGATCACACTAATACCATCAGCAAGCACGGACAAGAACTGAACCAATGCGGTCCAATACAACTGAGTGAGACAGAGCTGGGGAAGGAAGCACCATCTGGGAGGTTAGAAAGTAGTAGAGCTGCAAGCTGGAAGGTGTGTTTAGTTCGAGGACAAGGGTGGATGGGATATGGTTATTTATGGATTTTGGGATATGGATATCCATGTTATTTGTTTGGTTGGATGGATATAACGAGTCATTTTTTTGTTTGGTTAGATGGATGAGATTGCATGGGATGAGAATACTTGACTAATTATATCTATTATTTAAAAATAATAACAACTAATTATACCATAATAAATATGTACCGACACTAATCTTATCATTATAATCACTAATTAAAAATAAAATACGTTAATTAGCACTATAATACTCTAATTGTCACACAAAACATGTGCTAATCAACGTGTGGATATCCTCATCCGTCCGATTTTTAAGGGTCAGAATATCCAGCATCTATCCAGAATATTCTCTGTTATGGATAACCAGATTCAGCTTGTCCATCCAACCAAACATCATGTATCCATGAATATCAATGTCCCATCTATGAATATCCATGAAACCAAACACACCTCTAGAGATAGATAGGAATCAGAGATACATGAGGATCCAGAGGGGGAAGGAGAGAGACGCCATGGGCAGGAGTTGTTGTTCTGGTTGATAATTGACTAGTCCGTGGCGCACGCCCTCGCGGGCGTCGACACTCAGTTGAAAATATAATCAGAAATCTAATCGTGTGCATATATATATATTTTTTAAGATCGGAGCATAGACACGATAAATATCCAGCATTGTAATACGAGGATGGTTGATGTCTATGTGAAACATACATGCTGAATAAATGGGGTGCAAGAGTATTAAGAGGATAAGGATTATGTATAAATTTAGTAATATGTCTACGTCATGGTACATGGTGGCAGTTTGGAGCTAACATAGTACCGGATAGGCATAACGGTTTTGTACAATGCCTTTCATGATTAGTAGTACATGGTCTAGAGAATAATTATACAGATTTTGTACAAACAGTTCCTTCTGGACTAACTGTACATATGGATGCATCTTTTGATCACGATGCGACAGTGCGGCTCAGCTGTTTAGTATTCTGGTTCACGGTCTAAAAGGCCGCTGTCGATGGACACTAAGCTCGGCCTGCAGGAGTCTTCTGTCTATAGATGCTATATTAGTTTTTTTTTCTATGAGTTTGTGAAAAGAATATGGGTGCTCTGCATGGATAAGAATGTTTACCGGAGATCTAGTAGTGGCACATGCATTCTGTGTGGTGACTACAACCTGAGAAATAATCAGTGAAGTAGAAACTGTCTGGTAAAATGATATGATAGTGGACTATTTTATGGTTGATCTGTACGAATATTGTCGTTGTTCTGATATGGAGTGCTTGGAAAAGCGTAGAAGTAATATATGTGATGGACCTGAGGAATAAAATGCTGATACGTTTTCATCACCTGGTTATGAAGGCAATTTGTTAGTTTATGTATAAAACCATTATGTATATAAGTAATGTACAATTAGTAAGGTGTCTTACCTGTGTAGTTTTATTCAGTAAAGGTCATCAGATGCTGATCATCATTTGCTGCACAACCCATGCGTTGGCAGGATAAATGGGAACGAAGAGAGGGGCTCTACGGTAAGGGAAGTTCGATTTCTTAGGGCCAGATCAGCTCCAAACCAATATTTTCATGTGAAGGGTTCATGTTTCCCTCGACATGCTAGACCTCCCATGATTAGTTGGCCTTGCCTGGCACACTATGACAAGGGAACAACACTAGGGAGACGCGAAGCACCACAGAGAAGGTGTGCCGAGCTGTGATGGCTGAAAGGATGCTCCTCATCCTGTGCATGCATAGATTGTAACCAATATTTGAGCTATATGTAATTTACTGGAAGGAAGCAAACATATTTTGGTTGTCTATATGTATAATCAATCTCCAGATTAGACATTGTAATAAAAAGAAAGAATCATGATTTCCATGTCATGTGCTGGAGATAATTTGTGCTTGATGATTCACATCAAGGTGCAAAAGCAGAAAAAAAGAGAACACTGCATTTAGCAGTATCAATTTTTTTCTTGCTGTCAAGTGATTCAGTGGCATAGCAATGGTTTGCTAGATAACCAAAACCAAGATATCTCTGCTATGGTTTGCTGGATAACCAAAACCAAGATATCTCTATCTACTAAGAAAAGGTGTCAAAAAGGGATGTAACAATTTTGAAGGAAAGTTTTTGGCACCTACAAAGGTCGCCCTGGATCTGGCTTCTAATGCATCCTGTAGTTCTCTGATGTGTTTCAGGCTACTGCAACATGAAAAAAGCCTAAGTTATACCTGCATTATCGTGATATCAATTATCATCCCTATGTCAAATGCAAGGTACTTCAATGGTGTTCAAATATCAAGTGTACATTTGTTTTTCCATGCTTCTTTTCTCAACGTGTTTCTATGGAAAGGAATAATAGTCACAGAAAGAAGTGCACATCAGAACTGCATGACCTCTAAACGGGTTTCCCTGTCATACACCAAAAGCGGAGGGAGGGGGACGGAAAGGAAGAGAGGCTTATCTGGTTTGATCCATTGTCATTCTAAACCACCTATATGAATTGAACTACAACAGCATTATAATCTTCTATGAGCTTTTTTTTTGTTCTGAATAGCTTCCATGAGTGATGAGCACAACAAATAATAAGGTGCTGAAATATAGTTTCCCCCCCTCTTTATGGGTAGCTTGATGGTCGATGCACAATATCTAAAGGAAAGAATCCATCACTTTTTTTTCATGGGACAAAGTAAAATCTTGCGAATGAGAAAAGGTAAGATACATAATTACAGGTGCACAAATTTAAAGTATAATTCATATTTTTCATTAGATGAAATCTACAACATAATCCATGTCTTAACTAAAACAAATTAAATACTCAATGGTCAAATAGAAAATGTTATGGAATATAAGACATGAATGGTGGTGCAAAAGTAAGTCTGGTGATGTTTTGAGTTCTATAGGACTTGTGCTTTTATAGGTAACACACAGAGACTTTTAGATAAATAAATGCAGGACACACAGAAACATTAGAGCACTTGGAAATGAGTAATCATGCAAGGAAATATACCTGTTGTGCTTAAAATGGAATGGACACTAATTATTAAATGCTGGAGTCGCTGGCAATTGTTCAAATCAAATTACGAAACAGAAAACATTCTACAAATAATATAGGTTCTGTAGAAGGGAAAGGTACTTCTCTCCAATGCGAAATATCAAACCTGTGATAACATAGAAAATACTTAGAGATCACACTAGGTAGATTGCCAGAACTTTAAAAAATCCATCTTTGCAAAAATGTAAGACTTCATATTAAAAAAGAATAAATGGGATATGGAACAACTGGACCCACCATTCAAACAAGGCTAATGTTTGCTTTAGCCGCTGAGGTTCCATATAGCTTGAATCCAGCAAATGCCCCTGCACATCAATTTGAAATAATCAAAATTTATTATGAATGTTAACTTTAAGTGGCAGACATACATTGAATCGTTGTAACAAAATAACAAAGCAGCAAATAAACTTGAAAGGGAAAAAACCAACAGGCCTGAGAAAGGCAACAAAACACATACATCGACATCACCAACCACTACTACTGGTCATTGATTGCTGACCACCCACCACTCAACTGGAATTAAATGCGAAGAAGGCAACTTATAGGCTGCCTCAAATAATTTTGTGAGCTAAAGTATGTAATTCCTTCAAATTACAATTACCAGCCTCACAGGAGCGAATACAAACTTGTAACGGAATCAATAAAGCATATCAGATAAATAAATATGTATATATTTCTATTAGGTTAGCCATATCTTTGCCTCTATATTCAAGTTGCATCTGAAAGTGACTCTAAAATTTCGCACCATGAATAGGCCAAGCCTATTCAGTGTGTTCTTTAGACAGGTGACAGGATGAGTCTACGAACAGAGCAATAGAGATCTAAGTTTGGGACTAAACCTGACATTACCTACAGAGATTTTATAGCAGAAATTATAAAAATGGCAAGAGAAGACTATGACACGCATCAGCGAAACTAACTATAGAATGGAGTTGAATAACATACATACTGATACAACTCTGGAAGCAACGATGGATGAAGGCCATAGATGCAAACCTGGATCACTCCCATCGGCATAACCTACACGGAACTGAGGGAGCGCTCTAGTACGGCGCAACCTCTTCTAGCAATGGATATGATCATTAAGCAACCTCTCTGGTGGGTGAGTGAGGCAAGTCTAATGGCACAATTCCTGCCAGCATCCATTGTAACAACGTGAGGTCATCATTGCCGGCCTGTGGCCACCACATGAAACAAGAAAACAACATCACCAAAGCAGAGGTTTCTAATAATGGATCAAGGGGGAAAATGGTTCAGATGAAGGCCATGATATACCTGATGGACTAGAGTTGCATAACTCTCTTCTGATGCACAATTTGCTAGGTACTCAACACGGTATTCGTGGAAGTAATTATCCATCTGAGCATAGGTACTATGAGTGCTCATAACACTTTTCATTCCTGCATTTGCAACGACTGTACTATCAACGCTGAAAGTTTACAGATGGATAATGAGAAACTTTTGAGAGAGTGTCTATGTATGTCTCTTCAAAGAGATTGGAACTATTACAAGACAGTGGGACCATGAGGACTGCTACCAATTTGAAAACATGATAAATTGAAGGTTCTAGGAACTGGGTTATCGCTTATGGTATAAATTAACCAAGCAAAGATAAATTGAGGGTTCCAGGACTGCTAAACTCTAAACCCTCAATTTATTTGGTGCCTTTTTATTCTGTCACAACGATTCACTAAATTCCTCTCTACTAAATAAAATGTAAATTCAGGAATTAAATGTCCCATGAACATTATGCATACTACAACTCAGTACATGAAGGAAGTCCAAGGGCCCAAAATGATTACCTTGATGTCTTACGCTTTCTTGCTTTCAATGGAAGAGGTCACTATGGCAGGCTGCTCCTAAATTTCTTGAAAAGCCTATAACTGCAACCACTAAGGCACTAAGGAGCAGTTGCGGTATTAATATATAGTTGGAAATTAAGCAAAGACAAAGTAGCGGGAGATACAAGAAATGGTACCAACTCTAAGTTGTTGGTTAGCAAATCATGCTGGTGGAGAGGGCAGTGAGGACTAATAGGCTGCGCGAAGCCATGTTCGTGATTGTAGTCAACTCATCGTAGGCATCAGATGAGCTGCAAAGAAATATAAAAATATCTAGATAAGACTTTTGAAAACTTTAGAATAACTGCATCCAGGCCACGAATCAGTGTAGGAGGACTCATTTATGCGTTCAAATCTAAATCTCATCTAATTCATGGTAGTAGCAGAAAGAGTAAAACAAAACAGAATATCAGGCATGGACAATGTAGGTAGGCATTGATAATTCTATACTGGGTCTATATGCAGAACACAATTATTTAGCTTCACATCCATGAGGACCAACTAATACCGTGAAAACTGAGAACACATGGGAAAAAGCGAAGTTGACACAGATGTCCTGAACTTCTTGTAAGATGGAATGGAAAGGAGGTCACCTGACCCTATGATTGAAACAAGAGCAGGCCCAATATTTTTCTTTCTGATTGCTGTGCAAACTAATCTACCAGAAATGAATGCCTTTTAGGCCTCTCTACAGCAACTCAAAATTAATTAATGTCCATGCTCATCAAAGATGTTTGAACAATCTGATAGGAATGACATACCAAATGAATATCTAGCATATTGCTTTAGAGAAATTGTATCCAAGCTCAGTCATCTCCAACTGGTATAAAGGGTCACGATATAGTAGCTGTGGCAAAGACAGGTTCATCTAAAACACTGGGCTATCTCCTCCCAGGGTTTATTCTTGTGGAGCTTCTGAAGCATAATTCAAGTGAAGGTCTAACAGTATTAGTTATGTGTCCAGCCAAGGAATTGGCAACATAAATTCAAGATGAAGCAATCAAGTTTGGCAGATTTTGAAGAATATCTTCTACTGCGTGTTGCTCTGTATTTTCTGATATAGGAAACATGCCTCGCTCATATACGTGAAGAACATTAGAATTGCGTACACAACTATTGAAAGGGAATAAAAAATTAAATAAAACCCATATCACCTTGGTCCAGTAGTGGTTACAAAAGAGAAACATGGAAATCACCGGATCACATCTGAAAGAAAAAGAAGGGTGTATTAATATAGTTCAATTTCAAGGATAGATTAGTCCAAAGATTTTACAAATAAAATTAAGACTTTTTCTAGACAATAGAAGCATGACAGTAATCGAAAACTAAAGAGAATCCCCAACTAAAATTAGTTGCAAGCTGGTAGCATGGAAAAGGTATCCCTTTCATTAACTCTACCATATTAGCAAGGCAAAACTGATATCCAAAGCAAGTTAGTTGGTCAAAGCCGCAGCACAAAATTTAGGACAAAATAAACATCCTCATAATTTCCAACATTTGAGTGGTCTGCAACTTGGCTAAATCGGATTGAACAAACATTGAGGGTGCTTCTTATCTCTTTGCTTGCGACAAGAAAGAAGGACAAAGGGGCAGCAGAACCAAACCTCAGAGAAACTCATCATGGTGGCTTGACCCTCGTTACAATAGTTATCTCCATCAACAAATCGTCCGTCCCCGGTGTTGGCGAGGGAAGGGGAGAGGAACAAAGGAGGCAACACACCATCACCTAGGGCTGGTCACGACTGAGGCCTCTCGCACCGGGACGGCCACATCTGTGCCGCCGCGCTAGGGCTTGCTCGTGTCGGGAGGGGCGGAGCAGCAGCGATGGCACTGGGGCCACACCGCTTTCGGTGACCAGCGTCATATCTTATTTGGGGCGACCACGCTTTCTTTGGGGCGGTCGTCGTCAAATCTGCCGCCGCTTAGGCTTGGTCGTGTCAGGAGGGGCGGAGCAGCAGCTGTGGCATTGGGGTCGCTTCGCCGGGTTGCCGGCGTCGCACGCGCCTGAGGCGGCCGCGCTGCTAGGGCCGGTCGCCGGCCGATGTGGCCCGGTGCGGAGGGAGCAGGAGGAGTCGCCGTTGGGGGAGGAAGAAGCGGAGGAAACGAGGAGGCAACAGGAGAAGTGGAGGAGACGAGGAAGATATTTTTGTGTCGAGCCGATGGGAGGCTAACACGTGGAGTGGCACACACTTACTAAGCGGTGGATAAATCTAAAGCGTTAAAAGCAGATCAAATGATGTAAATTGTTTTTGCTAATGTGGAGGGGCTCAGTGACGGCCAAAGTCGGCTGGCTTGATAAGAGTAGTAATGTAAATTGTTTTTGCTAACGTGGAGGGGCTCAGTGACGGCCAAAGTCGGCTGGCTTGATAAGAGTAGATACCCTGTCTGCCTGTCTGGAAGCCTCTTCAACTCTTGCAGCTGCTGTACTAGTTGCTTGGCCCAATGCCCAAGGCCCATACATGAGGTAGCCCAATTGACGATAGTTCTTGACAGTCAAATAAGCGAAGCTTCCTGGCATTAAACAGTCGCAGGTCCTTCCATGCTCCCCCAGTTCTTCCTGGCTTTATTAAATTATAAACAGCAAAATAAGCGAAGCTTCCTCACTTAGAACAGCTCCAAGAGACCTCTGTGCACTGGGCTACAGAACTGCCGACGCAAAAAAAAAAAATTACATGTGTAAGGAGCAGACGCTGACAGCGCGCCACTTCAAGGAACAGATTGCTGTAGTTATAGGGCATATCTTTTCTTTCAGATGGAGGAGTGCTCTCCACTTATTATTAGTGATGCTTGGAGCATGTGCAAAAGGCCACCTTCAGGTCAACATGTCAACACACGCTTTGGTCCTCTAGGAGCCTGAACACCTTTCAGCCTTTTCCCACTTATTTTAGCCCTGCTGCCAAACAACTGAAACAGACCAAGATTAAGGCCAGAAGAGGAGGAACCACCCAAGCATACGCATACTCCCATGGCTGCCGAAGCTATTTTAGGAGCCTTTATGCAAACCCTCTTTGAGAAACTCTTTGAAGTAGTTCATGATCACTTCAGATCTTGCAGAGGCATCCATGGCAAGCTAGAGAACCTCTCTTGCACTCTGTCCCAACTGCAGGCCTTCCTTGATGATGCTGAGGCAAAGCAGTTGGCAGATGCGTCCGTGAGGGGATGGCTGGCAAAGCCCAAGGATATCGCATGCGACACTGATGATCTGCTGGACAGTTATTCCACCAAAATTATGGGTCTGAAGCAGAGACAGATGAAGCTTCGCACAAAGGCAAGTGTCAGTTCTCCCACCTGCTTCTTGCGTAGGAATCTATATCAGTACAGAATAAATCAAAAGATTAGCAGCATATTGGAGAGGTTAGATAAGATTGCAAAAGAACGGGACACTATTGGGCTACAGATGTTAGGTGGAATGAGTAGGCGTGAGACCTCAGAGCGACCCCATTCAAGTTCCCTTGTAGATAGTTCAGCTGTATTTGGCAGGGAGGCAGATAGAGAGGAAATGGTAAGGCTTTTGCTCTCTGACAGTGGACATAATTCCTGCAATGTTTGTGTCATACCAGTTGTTGGCATGGGAGGGCTTGGTAAGACCACTCTTATGCAGATGGTGTACCATGATGACAGAGTGAATGAACACTTTCAGTTGAGGATTTGGGTTTATGTGTCTGAAAGTTTCGACGAGAAGAAGATAACACAAGAAACTCTTGAGGCTGCTGCCTATGACCAATCCTTTGCAAGCACCAACATGAATATGCTTCAGGAAACACTCTCCAGAGTGCTAAGGGGCAAGAGGTACTTGCTTGTCTTGGATGATGTCTGGAATGAAGACCAGGATAAATGGCTCAGCTTTAGAGCAGCTTTACTTTCAGGAGGTTTTGGAAGCAAGATAGTGGTAACATCACGAAATGAGAATGTTGGCAGAATAATGGGAGGGATAGAGCCCTACAAGGTGCAACAACTATCAGATGATGATAGCTGGTCTGTATTCAAGAACCATGCATTCAGGGATGGTGACTGCAGCACATATCCACAATTGGAGGTGATAGGCAGAGACATTGTAAAGAAACTGAAAGGATTACCTCTTTCATCGAAGGCCTTAGGGAGCCTCCTCTTTTGCAAAACAGACGAAGAAGAGTGGAAAGGCATACTAAGAAATGGTATATGGGAACTACCAGCAGAGACGAATAACATACTGCCAGCTCTACGGCTAAGCTATAACCACTTGCCACCACATCTCAAGCAATGCTTTGCATTCTGTTCTGTGTATCCCAAAGATTATATCTTCAGGAGAGAGAAGTTGATTAAGATTTGGCTAGCACTTGGCTTTATCAGGCCATTTAGCAGGAGGAGGAAGGGCGGGCCTGGTGCAAGCGGTAGAGTCTTACCGCCTGTGACCGGAAGGTCCCGGGTTCGAGTCGCGGTCTCCTCGCATTGCACAGGCGAGGGTAAGGCTTGCCACTGACACCCTTCCCCAGACCCCGCACAGAGCGGGAGCTCTCTGTACTGGGTATGCCCTTTATTTAGCAGGAGGAGACCAGAGGATACAGGCAATGCATACTTTACTTGAGCTACTAAGCAGATCATTCTTCCAGCCTTACAAGGATAACTATGTCATGCATGATGCAATGCATGACCTTGCTAAATCTATCTTCATGGAAGACTGTGACCAATGTGAGCATGAAAGAAGACGTGATAGTGCTACCAAGATCCGTCATCTTTTATTTCCATGGAGGGATGACAAGTGCATGCAGTCTGGTCCACTATATGGCTATAGGAAGTTAAGGACACTAATCATTATGCATGGACACAAGTCTAAACTGTCTCAAATGCCTGATAGTGTCTTTATGAAACTAAAATTTCTTAGGGTTCTTGATTTGCATGGAAGAGGTCTTAAAGAGCTACCAGAATCTATAGGAAATCTGAAACAGCTTCGCATCCTAGACCTCAGTAGCACTGAAATCAAGACATTACCAGCATCTATTATAAAACTCTATAATTTGCAAACACTGAATTTGAGTGACTGCAATTCACTAAGAGAAGTGCCACAAGGCATCACTAAGCTCACTAACATGCGTCACTTAGATGCAAGCACAAGGCTATTGTACAGGATACCTGGAATTGGAAGTTTGATCTGCCTCCAGGAACTAGAGGAATTTGTTGTTCAGAAGCGCCTAGGGTACAAGATCACAGAGTTGAGGAACATGGACCAGCTTCATTGACAGCTTTCAATTCGTGGCCTCAACAATGTAGTCGACAGACAAGAGGCACTTGCAGCAAACTTGAGGACCAAAGAACATCTTCGAACTTTGCACCTTATATGGGATGAGGATTGCACAGTAATTCCTCCAGAACAGCAAGAAGAGATCCTAGAAGGCCTTCAACCACATCCTGATCTCAAGGAATTAATGATTAAAGGGTTCCCAGTGGTGAGATTCCCTAGCTGGCGGGCTTATTCATCTCTTCCCAATCTGAAAACTATTCACATATGTAACTGCAAAAGCAAGGTGCTTCCACCTCTAGGTCAGCTTCCTTTCCTAAAATATCTCGATATAGCGGGAGCAACTGAGGTCACACAAATTGGACTTGAGTTTGCAGGATTTGGCCAACCAAAATGTTTTCCAGCTTTAGAAGAACTCCTATTGGAAGATATGCCAAACATGGGCCTTGTTTAGATCACCTCCAAATTTCAAGTTTTTTCACTCTCTCTCCATCACATCAATTTTTAGCCGTTTGCATGGAGCATTAAATGTAGGTAAAATAAATAACTAATTGCACAGTTTAGTTGGAAATCACGAGATGAATCTTTTGAGCTTAGTTAATCCACAATTGGACAATATTTACCAAATAAGACGAAAGTGCTACTATTTATCGGGTTGAAATTTTTTGCAATCTAAACATGGCCTTGAGAGAGTGGATTTTTTATGACTCTGAACAGTTGTTTCCTCAATTAACTGAACTCGGTCTTATCAGATGTCCAAAACTGAAGAAGTTACCCCCTCTTCCATCAACGTTGACATCGCTTAGGATATATGAATCTGGGCTGAAGTCACTGCCAGAGCTACAAAATGAAGCCAGTCCATCTTCTCTAACCTCTCTATACATAAATGATTGCCCAAATCTAAAATCTCTGCGTGTAGGTTTGCTTGCACGCAAACCAACAGCTCTCAAGAGTCTAACAATAGCTCACTGTGAACAACTTGTTTCACTGCCGAAGGAGTGTTTCTGTGCCAGAACCGCCTAATCTAATGTTTTTCGGGAGAACTTGTCTTCCATTAGACACTAAGTACTCAAGGAAAAACTCTAAAAGCACACCCCAAGGGAGAACCCGAAAATCCACATTTTTCCATCAGGATCACAAATGAGAGAATAAAACTTACAACATTCTTAAACTATTTCTTACATCACTTTCCATGCAGCATCAGAGTATAATATTTATGGATTATAACAGCGAAGTATACCCATGTTATCAAAGTTATGAATAATTTAATTTAACAACGAAATATAAACATGTGATCAGAGTTACAGCGGAAATAAATATCTATTCATGACACAATAAAGCATTGACATATAAACTATGACAATAGATTATAAAACTTTCATTTATAAAAACATTTAGCGAGAGTTATAAATAAAAACTATGATCGTAGCGTAAAGGAATCCTCTCTGAGCCCACCAGGAAGAATCCACACCCAAGAGTCAGCTCTAGCATCCACCAGTCACCTGCAATAGGGGGAAATAAAACCCTGAGTACTCAATTGTACTCAGCAAGACCTACCTGACAGGAGGAAAGAAAAGACTCCAAGAATATGCAAGGCTATCTGGCTTGTGGGTTTATTACATCTGCAGGAAGCATTACTAAGCGTGCGTCCTTATATTCAATTTTATTAGCAGTCAACATTAGTTCATTAACTAACCATTTTATGTAAGCACCTGTGCTACTTTCAAGCAGGTGATAAGCAATTAGAATCATTTTACCATCTTTTATCTTACAGTTCTTACTACGCTGCTAGACAGTAGACAAGTCGTACCGGGTCACCCGGCGATTCGCGAACCAATGTATCCCAGCTAGGTACCCTGAAACACACGCCCGCTTATACCCTAGGCACAAGCAAGACCAACCCACTACCCTCATGTCACGGGATCCAGGTCCCCGTCCAAACTTGGACTCCAAGCCCCCCGCTCCTGAGTCCCGGACTCAGTGCGGTGCTTAGACCTCCACCATCCCCGCCTCCAATCAGTCAAAGTTCGGCTAGGCGGCGACTACTCGGCAACTACGCGCGCCTAGTCGCTGGGCGAAGCCCGTCGCCGCGACTAGGGGCATAGTCGCGCATCGCGGCGCTAGGCGGCGCGTAGGCGCGCGAGCTCGAGGGCGGCCAATTTTGGCGCGCCAAATCCGAGCGCGGGAGGAATTCCCGCGTGGCCAGGCCCGCGCGTGGCCACGAGACCCAGGCGCGGGAGGATTAGAAGGGAGCGCGGCGCCATTCGCTCGTCCCCGCGTAAGATTTGGTCGTCCCCGCCGCCGGTCTTCCTCGCTGGGCGAGGTCCATCCCGCCGGTCCTGCTCCTCTGTTCCTCCCTTGCTCGTCCAAGCTCGTCCCCTGCTCGCGCGCCGTCGGTCCTGCTCGTCGTCGACTCGCCGCCGCCGTCCTGCTCGTCCTCGACTGGAACCCCTCCCCGCCGGCCACCCCAAGTCCCCAAGGTGAGCTCCCTTCCCTCCCATGCTCCTCTCCCCTCCCATGCCGGCAGCTCCTCCCCTGCTCATCCCCCCTGTATGACTGAATCTGCATGTGTTTGTTCAGTGAAGTCTTTTGTTTACTGAATGAGTCTACTGAATATGAGACTACTGCTGCTGTCATCATTAGTTAACAGTAAAAATGTGTTTGTTCAGTGAAGTCTTCCAATAATTTCAGTTTTGATTGCAGTTGCAGTTTACTTACTGAATATCTAATATGCATGCTCTGTTCCTACTGAATTTCCTACTGAATGATTGCAGTTGCAGTTTACTGAATGTCTAAAGTGCATGCTCTGTCCCCTGTTCTCTGTGCTGCGGTTCATTGGTGAACTCTTGAATTTGAATGTAGGATGTCGGTAGAACAAGGTGTTTCTACACCAGATGCAACAGGAACTGAGGCAACTAATCTCCTGAAAAGGAACTCAGATGATGTTGGATGGGAATATGGTGTTCTTGTTGATGCTAGCAACAAGGACAAGGTGAAGTGCAAGCTCTGTGACAAGGAGATGAGAGGAGGGATTCATAGGTTGAAGGAGCATTTGGCTCATGAAGGAAAGAATGTGAATAAATGCACAGCAAGAACACCACAGACTATGGAGGCTAAAGAGAAGTGCAAGAAGGCACTAGCTGATGCAAAAAGAAAGAGGGAGGAGAAGATTGTTCGTGAGTTAGAAATTAGAGAGGAAGTTCATGTATCTAGGGTTGGAACAGATTCAGATGAAGTCACCTGTGTTGGAAGTTCAGAGTCCCACAAATTAGGACCCATTGACAAATGGACACGTGCTATTGATCCTAAAGCTACCAAGTCTGATTCTTTGAAGCAACAGCAGCTGAACAAGGAACTTTGAAAAGAAAGAACCAATGGTCTGTCATTGGAGAGGCAGTGGGAGCAGATGAACAGCTTGAGCTGCATAGAAGTGCAAGAGTGAGGGAGCTCTATGAAGAAGAATAATTTGAGTCTGAAGAAGAGTATGACGATGAGGATGTGTACTACAGTGAAGAAGAAATATGATCTGGATCATCTCCATCTAGTAGTGAAGCCTTTTGTGATGCCCTGGTCTTATGAACTGCAACTGTGTCACTTTATGTCTGTGTGTCTTCTTTTGTGATTTGTGAGACCTGAACTAAGAACTATGTGCTTGTGCTGTCATTTATTTATAAATTGTGTTGTCCACTTGTATTACTATCCTATCCACTTGTATTGTAATTATCAGCTACTGATATGGTGTGCTCATGGATGGGAGGCTGCTGAAATCATCCAGATAAGTCACAACTTAGTGTTTTCTATTTTTTATGAACATTACTAGTCGTCTATTGACTAATTTACTAACTACTAGTCAAAAATGTGTTGCAGGAGCTAGGAACATGCAAAAGTAAGCCAAACTAGGAATCGATATATCTCTCGGCCCTCTTTTTATACTTACTGTGACTCATATATAGTAGTTATATATATATATATAGTTATATACATAATATATATATATATATATATATATATATATATATATATATATATATATATATATATATATATAATTTATGGCTATATTGCCAAAACGCCTAGGTAAACGCCTAGGAACGCCTAGGACCGAGTACTCCCGACTAGGCGCTAGGCAATGGGTCAACGCCTAGATTCCGCCTAGCGTCTAGCTGAACTTTGCAATCAGTCGGTTCGGAAAGAGCCGAAACCCATGACAAGAGAGCAATGAATCTTCTCGCGCCCATACACAAGTATGTATTCAGGATAATAAGTCTGTGACCTACCTAGAACCTAATGCAACGGTCGGCCCTTAACCGACACAGGCGGAACAAATGCAATTCGAGCCTCGCTCGAATGCCAAACCAAGTCTAGATCCAAAGTACCATTCCGCCCGGTCTCTAATTATCATTTATATATATTCCAGGTGATATAATATAGTAACAACAATAATATATTTTCTATCTTTCGCGAGTGACAGGCAATCACTTGACTTCTACCGGAGTCCTGTAGCATAGCAATATACACGATCCTGTCATCCTAGTAAGACTCATAGGATAAAGATATATATATATATAAGTGAGTTTCATTCAACTCCTTAAAACTTAATGCACAAACATAATATAAAGTGCAGAAAAGTAGAGGTTATGCACAGGGCTTGCCTGGGTAACATATAACCAAAAGTTAGTATTTCATCTTTGTGTCCTGATCCCTAGCGCCATCTTTTCAGCTACTCCGTTTGATACCATCGATCCACCGTCGTTCCTATTATGATATGTATTGATGCAAATGCAGGGATAGCGCAATCAATCAAAAGGCAACAACTCTTAAAATACGAGTGCACAAACCAAGCTAACAAGCTAACTCCTATGACTAATATATTAGCTAAGTATTAACTTCACTAAACAAAGCATCCTTTTCATCAAGTACTAATTCTTACCAAATCAAGTCTCTTTTTGATTTATTAATGATTTAATATACTCGAAACTAGGGCACATTGACTACTCTAGTAAACTAATTATTATTGGGCTATAAGAATTACAGAGAACACCTAATAACACTTCTAACCTACTGTAAAATTTTTAGAGCTAACACTATCACCGATTATCACGGAAATTCCTACAGGTTTATGTCTTAACAATGTTAAGTATGTTAAAATAATTAGAGCAACCCTAAAAACATACAGAACCTATGCGGACAAAATACACTATCAGATAGATCATAATTTTAGAAACTTAACAAAATTAGTTTCACAATTTTATTACATAAGGCATTATTAAGCAAGGATTTAATCTCAAAAAAACTTTAGCTAAAGCACATGATATTATTAGCCCACAGCATAGGTCTACTCAAAAGGAGTCTAACAAAATGAGTTTGGCATTTTTTTAGATTTTTTATGATTTATTTTCAATTTTTGAAGAGCACTGAATTAACAAAACAAAAGGAAAACAACACAAAAAGAAAAGGGCCCAAGCGGCTTGGCTTGGGCCCATAGCCTTGTGTGACTTCTTGGCAGTGCGCCCGATGTGCGGTAATGGTGGTGGCGGGCGGCCCAGCGGTGAAGGGCGAGCGCCAGCAAAGCTAACCCACCCACGGCCAAGGCAAGGCGGCGACGTCACTAATTTGCGTCGAGGCCCCTATACTTCTTATTATTTCCACTCGCAGTTCAAAGACACTATTTAACACTATTTACTTGAGTCAAGAGATTCACCTTAGAAACCTTGGACTACTTTCTATTTGAACATATACTCCCCCTCTCTTCACCAGAGCAGAGGAGCAGAGGAGTACACGGGTGAGCCGGCTGGCGACAGCGGCGCTGCTGGTGATGGCACGAGCCGAGGAGAGGCGCTGGAGCATCACCGGACCTGCACGGCTCCGAAGGGGCACGGTTCGGCCAGGGGCGAGGCAGGACGGCCCGGCCACGCGCGCACATCACGGCAGCGCGGTACACGGCGGCTCCCGGCTCGATGAAGGCCGACGAGCACGCGCGGGACAGCAAGGAGAGCGAGGCGGAGGCGATGAGGCAGGTGGTCGAGCACGGGAAGGCAGCGAGCGGTGGCGAGCTCGAGCTTCACGGTTGCCATGATGGCTGCACGTGCGAGAACGAAAGGGGAGAGAGCGGAACTGAGCTGGAGCAGCGCGAGGGAGGGAGGGGAGCGTCGTAGGGGCTCGGAGTCCGGGCCAGGGATGGCCCACGACAGACTGGCCGCGAGCGCCATGGCTGCAGCCGATAGCTCGGATCGGGGCACAGCCATGGTAGCCGAGAGCGAGAGAGAGAGAGAGCAGGGCGAGAGCAACAGTGAGGACGACGACGTTTGAGCTCAGCCCCGACCTCGCCATGGCGGATGCGTGCTAGCAGCAGAGCGAGCAAGAGGGAGAGGCCGAGAGAGAGATAGAGAGAGCGAGCCGTAGCGAGGACAATAGCTTGCCAACCGCTAGAAGGCAGGGGGCAGGGCAGCGCGGAATGAGCTGCGGCAGGGGGTAGGTGAAACGAGCGGCTACGATTGCGTGCTACAGGGCGGGGCGAGGCAGGGCAGTGGAGCAGCCACGCGCCACAGCAGCACACGGACCGCCAGACCGCAGCTAGGCCGGGGCCGACCAACACGCGGACGACCACAGCCGACCAGCACGCTGCGCAGTCCACGCGACGCCATGGGCGCGATGACCACGCCCAAGGGCTCAACTGCCAAACCTAGCACATTTTAGGTACTTAAACACATTTTTTTAATAGCTAAACCAAGCTCTAACAACATTAACCATCACATCATCACTAAGTTGTCACTTCGGTGCAAACCACTAAATAAAAACATGGCACAAGTGTTTAACTAAATCTTTTAGAAATTAATTGCCAAAATGGCATTATCTCCTGTCATTTCGTACTTAAAAGAAATCAAGGTTTTAGTTAGAACTAACATTCCTAAGCACTTTGTCGTAATTTTTTGCAAGGTCTAAACCTCGACGATTTCAACTAATAAACATAGCATGACATAACCCATACTCCATACTAACCCACGGGAGCAAAACATTTGAACGCCTCTTAATTATTTTGCTTAATATAAATAGTCAAAAATAGCATCCTAACTATAAGTTCCACTTCCGGCCGATTCACAAAAGGTCTAGTTTAAATGTTGGATTCGATTTCTGAGCTATCAGATATACTATTGAATAAATTTTATTCACCAAAACAAGAGTTGCATTTTTATCTATTAAACTTGCGCCCCAGATTTTATCCAAGTACTAAATACAAGTTATATTTTATTTGTTTATAAAAAAATAGCTTTTCGTGCTAAACAATTAAAACTACTTATTTTATTTTCTCGTTAGGATTTTCATTTGCACTTTTAAGTAACTAACTCACTATATTTATAGATCTATTTCTCAGGCCATAATGTCAGTGCTTAGCGAGGTCGTAATACCAGAGGTATTACAGCCAACCCCCCTAAAAAGAATCTCGTCCCGAGATCCAGAGCAAGAATCAGAAGAGAGGAAAACGCGATTACATTTCATAGATCAGAAATTACACGACTTCAAATGATAAACCACACAGGAATTTAGAGATACATGGTTAAGAGCAACCTAATACAACCGAAGCTTAATCCAGAAGTCGAGATAGACGAGGGCAATGGAGAAACAATAAGATAATGATTATCCAAAACATGACGTATGACCAACAGATCCATAAACAGGAGACTGAGAAGTCAAACATCGTGAACCCTAAGACCGAACTAACCAACGGTAGACTTGAACTTCTTCGAAAATCAGATCCTTATTCTTCTCAGATTACACCATCACCTCTGTCTGACGAACCTAGTTCCACAATGTCGACTGGATCTTGTAGCTCTGCGTCGGATTCATGGGGATGGGGATGAAGAAGAAGAGCAAGGACCAAGGGAATCTTATAGTGACGAATGGAGGTGGGGCGCAACACATCGGAAGTGGAGACGACGTGGATGGGGTACACTGGCGGTTCACGCTGAGGGGATAAAGTCGGCCATGGTGCGCTCCCTGCGCGAGTGGAGGGAGGATAAGGGAGAGGGAAGGGGATTCGCTCGACGGGGAAGGCGTGCGGGCGGCCGTGTGCCCAAAAGAAGAAAAATGGGAGGGGAGGGTCTGGTACGGGGATGAGAACGTGGGGTCGAGAGCCGACCGGATGCCGAGAAAAAGGGGCAATGCATAGTACACGAGGACGACTAGTGCGGCACGATGTCGCGGCCACGCGAGAACGGGGTGCTAATGGGCCCGACACAGACGGCGTTCGCAGGGCACGCGGCAATAGTGATCGGCGTGCGTAGCGTGGTCGAGTTGGGCACAGAGCTTGGGACTTGACATCCACTCAAGCTTTTCTAAGCACTCCCTACTACCCAAGGCTAACTTTTCCCAGGTGTTCTTCTTTCCTTTCCTTCCTTAACCACATCCGTCTTTTATGTAGACTAAGACCATGTCATACGTTCTTCCTCCAAAACCACGTTCTCTTGTGTACTTTAAGGGAGTACTATTTCATCAACCCGTTGTGGATTTCCCGTTTGAACACCCGAATTTTTCCAAGAAGAATATTTGTATCAAAAGTGGTATGGCGGTGTAGCTTGGTAAAGGTGCTTGGTTAACAACCTCGATACCAGCGCGTATCAAGCAACGTCACCATGTGGCAGCTGTTCCACAGGGGCCCTCGGCGAGGCAGGGCAGTGGCGCAGCCACGCGCGACAGCAGCACACGGACCGCCAGACCGCAGCTAGGCCAGGGCCAACCAACGCGTGGACGGCCGCAGCCGACCAGCGTGGTGCGCAGTCCACGCGACGCCATGGGCGCGATGACCACGCCCAAGGGCTCAACTGCCAAACCTAGCACATTTTAGGTACTTAAACACATTTTTTAATAGCTAAACCAAGCTCTAACACTAACCATCACATCATCACAAAGTAGTCACTTCGGTGCAAACCACTAAATAAAAACATGGCACAAGTGTTTAACTAAATCTTTCAGAAATTAATTGCCAAAATGGCATTGTCTACTATCATTTCATACTTAAAAAAATTCAAGGTTTTAGTTAGATCTAACATTCCTAAGCACTTTGCCGTAATTTTTGCAAGGTCTAAACCTCGACGATTTCAACTAACAAACATAGCATGACATAGCCCATACTCCATACTAACCTACAGGAGCAAAACATTTGAACGCCTCTTAATTATTTTGCTTAATATAAATAGTCAAAAATAGCATCCTAACTATAACTTCAACTTCCGACCGATTCACGAAAGGTCTAGTTTAAATGTTGGATTCGATTTCTGAGCTATCAGATATACTATTGAATAAATTTTATTCACCAAAACAAGAGTTGCATTTTTATCTATTAAACTTGCGCCCCAGATTTTATCCAAGTACTAAATACAAGTTATATTTTATTTGTTTATAAAAAAATTGCTTTTCGTGCCAAACAATTAAAACTACTTATTTTATTTTCTCGTTAGGATTTTCATTAGCACTTTTAAGTAACTAACTCACTATATTTATAGATCTATTTCTCAGGCCATAATCTCAGTGCTTAGCGAAGCTGTGATGACCTCCAATGTCTGCCTCCGAGCCTGTATGAAGTTTCCTCACTTGAAACACTACTCATTGGCAACTGTCCTGAGATTGAAAGCTTGCCCGAAGAAGGCCTTCCCATGGGACTCAAGGAACTCTATATCAAACAATGCCCCCCTAATCAAGCAACGGTGCCAAGAAAGTGGGCTGGATCGAAGCAAGATAGCTCATATCAGAGACATTGAGATTGATGGAGATGTTATTGTACCTGAACAGCTATAAAAGGTAGCACTTCTACTCATACTCATATTTATAGCATATCTCTTTTTTTTTTAAATAATAATTCGGAGGCAGAGGAATGTTATATCTCAACTTTAATAGACCAGTTAACTAAATTAGGAGGGATGAATGAAACTAGACCATAAAATATGTGTAGGAAAAACTTCAAATTTGTTACTGCTTTGGCATATGCAAATCGCCCCATGGCTTGATGGTACTTAGCTTTTACTAAGTGGCTTATCACCATAATATTTACATGCTGCACCTACAAGAAGTGTCATGTTGATAAGATTGTTGGAGTCTGGGGACCTAAGATGCAGTTAGCAGAACAGTTGCTAGTAAGAAAATATCAAGCTCTTTGCAGACTTTTAATATACTCACTAAAAGGATACAATACCACACAGAATCTGTAGTCTATAGAAATGCTTGTGCTAGTGCTAAGAGCTACTACCTCCATCCTCAAATATAAGGGATTCGAGTTTGTTCCAAGTCCAACTATCCTAAGTTTGACCAAGTTTTTTGAGAAGAGCATTAGCATCTACCACATTAAAAAGGTAAATTATGAATATATATTTCATAATTATCTATTGATGTTTCTTTGATATTGTAAATCTCATTATTTTTCCTATAAACTTGATCAAACTGGGGATAGTTTGACCTAGGACAGACTCAGAATCCCTTATATTTCATAACAGAGGCAGAGGTAATACCATGTAAAGAACACCTACCTAGGAAAATCGTCACTATCTTCAACATTTTTGCGGTTTAAAATGAAATCTGCCTGGGAGCTATATCTTTTGTTTTGATCTCCTTGGTAAAGAGGTCTAGCCAAAGCAAACTAGATCCCATCTCTTCATAAGCAATTATGCATGGAATCACTAAAGTCCAATCTATAAATTCTGGCCCAGCCCCCAAATTTTACAGAAATGATCTCCAACGAAGTAAAAGTAACATCAATCTCATCACATCACATTAACATGAAATGGAGCAGGAAATTTGATTTAGGTACTAACTGGTTGATACTGGACAGGGCGGAACGGCCAATGCGGGCAGCGGAAGGTGGACGCCGGCGGCGGCGCCCAGAATTGCTCCGGCGTTGCAGACGCCGTCCCCTGTGCGCCTCCGCTCCGGGCTCCAGCGAGGTCATGCCGGCAGGAGGGGATGTGATGTGCCGGTGCGGCGGTGCTCCGTGGTCCTCAACTCAGCAATGGACTCTGGTCAGCTGGAAAGACACTCTACCCGTTAGTGCCGTTACCGTTAAGTCCCACGGCAGTGAGTCGAATCAGGCTCAGGCCCCTCTCCCTTAGTAAAACTGTGCGGCCCCACCGGCCAGTTACACGCTGTGACGGGTTTAGTAGGGTTCGGACTTCGGACTCCCGCTTGGCTAGGCTAACATGGCGGCGGCGGAGGCGGCGCCGGCGCCGGCGCCCGAAGCGAGCGACTTCTATGGCGGCGGCGGAGGCCTGTCCACCGGCCGGAAGCTGGTGCCGTGGTCGAGCTGGACAGAGTGGCGCTTCGTGCGCGACGGCCTCTTCTCCCCCTTCCCCGCCGCCGCTCTTCGCAGGGTAACACCATCTTCTCTGGAGCCTGAGAAGGCCTCAATATTTGAGCAGAAGGGTGTGAACTTTTTAGTGTTTCGTTGATTGATTCAGATTGCGGCGTGGCGGAGCAGGGGCTCCCTCCCCATCCCCGTGGACGTCACCGCCGCCTTCGTCGAGATACGGCTGCGGGATCCCTTCTTCAGGTACGATGTTTGTACAAAGTTTGAACCTGTTCCTAGCTACGGAGTTTGGATGGTGCTATATGCCACGAGCTATTTTTTCTTTCCACCAGGAACGGATTGGCTGGGGATGATGCTCTGGAGTCAGAGGAGATGCTCGCGATGCTGTACAGCATGGCAATCATGAGGTGAGGAAACCCTCTCTGCAATTGTCATCTTGTTTGTGATGCATCACTTTATACTCTTTTCCACATTTAAAGTACAACAAATACTTATTCTCCCTTTTGTTTTCCCACTGTCAGGCTTGTAAATGGTTTCGTGGAGAATCCATATAAAAAAACTGGCCTTTCAATATCTGAACTAGCTGAGGCTGTTGGAATACCACGAGTTCTGGTTGACATTCGTCATGGTTAGAAGATTTTGTTTGTTGTGTCCTTTTACATGGTGAATTAATCCCTGGTGTATTAGATTACTAGCATTTGCCCGTGCATTGCTACGGGAGCCTCAAAATTCTAAGTTGCCATTATATCATCGATGCTTAAATTCACCCATGCATCTAAGTGATTATTCACAGAACAAAAAGAAAATTCTAAACTGAGCATGAATCAAGTTTGAAAGACTACTTAAATATAGAACCTCCAACCAATCAAAAGAATTAATTATCTGCTAGAATACCATTGTCACCAAAGGTTAAAATGTTACACAAATAAGTAAAGGAAAATGCTCGATACAACACCCTTCATCTGCTGGAAGTTCAGATTAGCACTCATGTTTGTGGCTGTTCCCCGTCCTGGCTTAAGTGGCACAAGAATTTCTGTTGGTGGCCAAACAAAAAAAAGAGAGAGAGATTGAATCACTGTAATTGGATGAAGACATATCTCCTATATAAGTTGTAGCCATGATTAAATCAATGAACAAAGCATTTTTTACTTTTTTAGTACTAATCAATACCAACATGAGTGAGTGAGGGGTTGGGTTCTTTGGGATGGCTGGTAGGAAAGAAGCCAGAGCTCAAAGGTCTTCGCAACACAGAAATTATCAGAAGTTTAGAGAAGTTAGTATGTTAAAACCATCCCCTTAATTAGATTGATGGGATAATTATTTGGGGGCAAAATTGATCCTTGGAGAGAAAAAGGACCAACTATGCTGTTTTTCCTATCTCTATTCTTATCTTGTGAGGCAGGATAAATGAAATAAACATACTCCGTTCTAATCTTCATGACAACGGTTCATACGCAAAAGAAATAAATGCAGAGGGAACAGACTATCCAAGAATCATGCTTGTAAATGTTTTTTTACCTACAACTGGCGCGACTGTCTTCATAACTGCTGTAGACATTCAAAGTCACAAAGAACTATGAGCCAAGTGACAGAGCAGATTACCTCACATAAAGTGGCACTGGCACCGCAGCCCTCTGAACTAATCACGGCAACACCAGTAAGGAGCGGACCTTGAAGCGAAGTATTATTCTTCAAAAATACATGTACATCTAGTATTACCAAATCCTATTACACCTGGACACATTACCTCACATAAAATGGCACTGAACCCTATGAACTAATTAAGGTGACACCTGAAATAAGGCGTGAACCAAGAAGTGTAAGTATTCGTCCAGAATACATGTATCTCTAATATTAACTAATCGCACTACATCTATCGCAGCAGAAATTCATACAAGAAAAGGGAAAAAAAGCAGCTGTAGGGATTAGAGTATAAACAAAGCAAACATGATCGATCCTCACAGGGTGCGGCAATACAGAAGAGCCATCCTTGTGTCGCATTTGGTCGAACATTATCCGGGCGGCGCTTTGCAGCCATGCCGTGACCGTGTGAGGCGTGACCTCTTCGCCCGTGAGCCGTGAGTATGACATCCGGCAATCTGGTGGTGGTCGGCGTGTCTCCAATGCAATGCGAATCCGACGGAGGGAGCTGTGTAGTGGCTATGGTGAGGCAGGGCTAGGCGGTGGCCGGGCGGATCGAAGTGGCGGGGAACTGAGCGCCGAGGTTGATGGGGCAGGGTCGGTCCGGCGGCGTCGGTGGCGCAGGTCGTGGAGGCTTGGCGGCCCCGGTAATTGCGGCCGAGTGGGGCGGGGCCCACGCCGCTGTACCCGCCACCGTCGCTGCCACAGGAACAGGAGGAGGCGGCGGAGAGGCGGGTGCCGTTTCCCGCGTCCGCGTCGGGGCCGCTCGGCGGCGGCCGCGGCATCGGGGGCGAGGCGAAGGGAGCACCACATGGCGGCGTTGGGGACGCACGGCTGAGGGCGACGCACGCTCCGGCCTCCGGTGAGAGGGAGAGGGGCGAGGGGCGTGGGGCGGCCTCCGAGGAGAGGGCGAGGGGCGCGGGTTTGGGAGACGCAGGGGAGTCGGATGGGAGTGTGGGATCCTGGAGGAAGGGAGTCGGAGGCATGTTGAAGTTGTTGTTGACGTCCCCCCTTTCATCTTTTTAGGAGTAGAGATTTGTTTGATCTGGTTTTATGATTGCTACAAGTTTATGCCCTGATTATTGTGCTGCATGCAGAGAGTTCCCATCGCAGTCTTCCCTCTCTGCGACTGCTACGCTTGGCAAGCATTAAGGTAAAATGAGTATGCTATCATCTATGAGAAACCTCTTGTCATATATTTGCTTCAGTTTGCTGTTTTGTTTGGTGGTTCTCATATAATTTCAAGAGTTTGGGCTTGTAAATTTCTTTCTTTGTTCCTAGCCATGATGTTTCGTATTAAGATAAGTTTACTTTCAGGCATTTGATTGGTTGAAGTGTATTTACTGGGATCGCCAGACTAATTCAATTCCTGATGCTCAAGCGGAACTGAGGTTGAGACTGCATGAAATTGCTGGCTTTCTGAAGGAGAATAATTCAAAAGAATCAAAATCAGGGTCCAAAAGGAAACGTGAGTATCTGCAGAGTTTGAGGCTGCAGGCAGATGTAGGTCTTATCTGCTTGGAGCTGCACTAAGATTCTGTATAGTTAATGGCAAGATTGCTTTTCTTGGTTAAGGGCAATCTGACCAACTCCTGCTTGGCATTGAGTATTTTCTGGCTGACTTGCTGTTTGGGTGGTTAGAGATGCATTACTAGAGTCCAGTATAATAGTTCTCTCTTGATAGTACTCATTTTTTGCTGTTAGATTCGACTAATTAGAAAGCTCATATCTACATTTTTCGATAAATAAGTGTAACTTCAGAGTAAAGACAAATGCAACCCCCTTTATATGATTAAGTGTGTGCTAACTATTAGACTTGACAGTACAACTATAAATCTTAACCCATTGGTATACAGTGCCCATTTGACTTTCCAGATTGGTATGGCATCATTTGATCAATACATTGCAGTTTGCAAGGAAGATTAATTAATTGTATTTTTCTCTTGATGCCAAGATTACTCTAGGATTAGGCTCTAGAAGCTGCAAAAGATGCACCACCACATGAAAATTTTGATATTTCTTATCTTTTCCATTAATCTGAACCACTTTTTTCCGCATATATAGGTGCACGTTTGTAACTGAACATCCTCATTTATTTGCTACAATCAACTCATCTACTTTCTGAATATTTATATTGTGAATGTGTGATTATTAGTTTATTAGAGAAGATGAGTAAAGTATATTGATAGATAACTTCTAAATTACAGGTTCTGAGAAATTGATATCGAAAGCCATGAAGTACGCCAGACGGCTCTACTATGCTTATCCCTCTGAAGTGGTCTCTGTTCTATTGGATCTTATGGAACTGGATGCTGCAGACTCTGAAAGCATTGACATGCAAGAAACTGATAGTTTGGCTGTTAACCACTCATCTGACATTAAATTATCAAACAGTGATATGAAAACTGTCATACTGAAACTTTCAGAGAAGGAACCGAGAGTGCTGCTTAGTGTGCTAAAGTCAGTAATTGAAATGATCGACGCCAAGGAAGAACTCACAGATAAAGGTATAGAGCATCATACTTACCCTTTCTGCAGACATTATTCTGGTATTTCCTATAATTTATTCCATGATTTGCTTCACAACCCTGCAATGATAGAGCTGTCAAATTTTGTTCTGGTGTCTAGAGTTGATGTGTCATATGAAGTGCTATATGTGCAGCCCTGATTCTGACCCAATTGGTTGTTATATTGTAGGTGAATATTATTCTTGGCAGCCAGTAGGGCCATCCAAAGTGAAAAGGTTATGTTCCTTGGTTCTATGGCTTGTCACAAACATTAAAGAGCTTAAGGATTCAGGCTACATTGGACTTATTCACGAGATAGGAGTACTTTCTTCAGACAAGAATGCAATCCCTCGTTTTTGCCTTGCAAAACTTTTGCAGAAGTTATTGAATCTATCCACTATAGGTGAAAGATGTCTCATAGATGCAGCACTGTTGTTGATTGAAATGGTCAATGATAATAATGTGAAGGAGAAATTGAGGAAACTTCCTGTGTTATGTCTGGGAAGGTTGGCTAAATCTTCTTCCCTCCCAGAATCAAGAACCATATGCAACCAACAGGGATCAGATGAAAACGCAACAGAGACACTAGAATTATTCAAAGTGCAGTTGAAGAGGCAGAAGAATGGCACCACTGAAGGATCATCCAATACGAGCATGCCAGAGAAACATGACAGATGGTCTGTAGCAAAGTCATGGACTCCCTGCTCGATAGGAACAGTACCCTGTTCATTTAGTTCATGTGCTGTTCTTCCTGCCTTTGATGTCATCAGTCATGAACAATTTTTCACATTAGAACATGAAACTTTTGAGGAGGTTAATCATTCTGAAAGGTTTGAGCCTCAGACCGAGGAGTTGGAGGATGAAAGCATTCTGGAAATACCAAGGTCATCACCAGAATATGAAATTTCAGATGTGACAGAATTGACCTGTCCTTTGAAGGGTAGATTGTTGGTTGGTGGTGTTTGGAAAATGGTAGCCGAAGAGGAGCTGCTCTTGATAAAATCGAAGATGAAAGTTTTGTTGTAGTATCCAGTGGTAGTGAGCAAACAGTGCCTTTTTTTGGGGGTCCATGGGGGTCTTACCGAGTTTCTTCAGTATTTGTCCTGATTCTCATATTTCCATTTGTTACTTCTTCGGTTTGGCCTAGTAAGAGCAGCACACAGCTGAGCTTGCCTTTTTTTTCTTCTAAACTTGTCATAGAAGTTTAGGAAATAGTTAATCAGTTAATTCATATATTTTACTAACAACGGATCTCCATAGTCGTTGCCTGGAGTGGATATTGTTGACTTAGAAATGCCTTACTCAAGTTTGCTGTTTTCAATGATCCATTTACATTTCCTCCATGTTTGGGCATAAAATGTTCTTGCAGTTCACCACCCTCAGCTGAGTCCTACAACATGTTCCAATATATTTTTCCATAGCATGGAGATATGTGCAAATGCAAAAATAACACAAAACATGCACTTGGGGCCTAAGCAACCACAAGCTGTAGCCGAATGAGACTCTTTATTTTAACAGGAAAAACTGCAGGGAGGCCCCACTGTTAGATTTTATTAGGACACGAAAACAACCACTTCTACCAAACAAAGAGGAAACCTCCAGCTAAGCCCGAGCGAGGCTAGAACCAGAAGAAAAGCAAAGAACCACTAAACACCCGAATCAACCCACGAAAGAAAAATAGCAAGTGCAGGCCAGTCAGATGATCGAGCCCATTGAAACGCCTAGACTTGTGCCCTTATTTCCGTTGCATCCGGTTCCTACTTGATTTTGCTAACCAAAGTGCAGAGCGGCGTTTCACTTCTCTTTTTCTCCCCATATCTTTTTACCCTTCTTTTTTAGCAAACCCCATATCTTTTTACCTGACTGCTTGATGTTTTTGCTGTACGAGTCTAGACTCTATAGGCCCAGCTATTTATGTATCCTGTATTGCGCTTTCTGGTTGGTTGCACGAATCACTGATTCACCACCAACTGTTGTTATTCAGTCTTAATAAGACATGAAGCGTGTGGGTACATCATAGTTCATAGATAGTCATATCAGTAAAGAAAGTACAAAGTACAAGAGTTTACAAGCAATGCTAATGCATGCCTGCTGCTGCAGAATGTGCTACTCTTTCTAATGAGTTATTCGGCTTGTTCACTGGTTGGTTTCTGGGCTGATAAGCTCGGCTGGTGCTGGTTTGTTGTGAGAGAAAAACATTATTGGCTGACTGATAAGGCATGGCTGAAACCAATAAGTGAACGGGTTGATTAATCATGCATGCATGTATGGTGTTCGGAGTGCATCCTTAATCCCCGAGGTTACACCCAAAAAAAAAACCTTGGAAGAAAGAGACGCTCTAGTTCCCAATGTATCTGATTCCTACTGGATCTCGCTAACGAATGTGCAAAGCCAGTTTTATTCCTCTCATCGCGACACCCCCTCTCACCCAAGAGAGAAAAACAGAAAGTGCAGACCGATCTGATCGAGCCCATTGCATGCGATTCCTACTGGATTTTGCTAACCAAAGTGCAGACCGGCGTTTCACTTCTCTTTTTCGCCCCATATCACCTATCTGCTTGATGCTTTTGCTGTATGAGTCTAGACTCTAGAGGCCCAGCTATTTATGTATCCTGTATTGTGCTTTCTGGTTGGTTGCACGTATCACTGATTCACCAACTGTTGTTATTGATTCTTAATAAGACATGAAGAGTGTGGGTACATCATAGTTCGTAGATAGTCATATCAGTAAAGAAAGTACCGTAAAATAATCTGCTCTTCCATGGCTAAACGCGTGGCAGGGTAGACGTCGAAAGAGCTCCCTGCTGCTGTACTGTAGCCGCAGCAGGAGCAGGCGCCGAAAGGCTTCCATGCCGCATTGTAGCCATAGCAGGGGCAGGCATCAAAGTCAGTCCTGCTGTCACATCTAGTCACTGTAGCAGCCTGACAGCCTAACATGTATGTGTATTAGGATTAGATGGGTAGAGTTATATATATATATATATATATATATATATATATAGCTTCCCACTGTAACTCAGTAAAGAGAGCGAGTTTAGTTTTGTCATATCCTCTGCAGAGCTCCGACCAACGCTGGTGCTTATGCTGTGTGTGTGCACTCTGTTCTTCCTCTCTTCTTCTACCTCCCGCCATAATGTATGTGGTCGGCAACGACAGTGAGCGGTCGGCTCACCCGTGCCGGAGATCTCGGGACCAACAAGTGATATTGGAGCCGTATAAGCGTCGTCGCTGGACTAACCGTTGGTGATGACGGACGGTTTGGAGATGGACGACAGCAACGGCGCTGCTGTGGCTGCCCAGCCACGACAAGAGGTCGTCGTGTGCACGGTGCGGGAGGTCAGCGGCACCAATTCGCCGGCGCTGACTCGCACCAACTATGGCGAGTGGGCGGTAACCATGAAGGTCAAGCTCAGATCCTGACGGCTCTGGAATGTCATTGACAAGAGCACCAACAGCGAAGAAGACGACATGTTAGCGTTGGAGGCTATCCTCGTTGCTGTGCCAGCGGAGTACAGGGAGCCGTTGGGAGCGAAGAACTCTGTTAAGGAGGCGTGGGAGGCCATTGCAGCGATACGCGTTAGCTCCAACCGCGCAAAGAAGGCGACGGCCCAGCTGCTGAAGCAGAAGTACGCCAACCTCAAGTTCAAGGATGGTGAGTTGGTGGAGGACTTCTCCTTCCGCCTGTAGTCACTCATCAGCAAGCTGAGGAGCCACGGCGTCACCATCGACGAAGAAGAGGTGGTCTTCAAGTACCTCCACTCCGTGCCGGTGAAGTACATCCAGATCGCTCTCTCCATAGAGACAATGCTAGACTTGTCTACCCTCACCATTGAGGATGTGACAGGCCGTCTGCGGGCGGTGGACGAGAGCATGGAGCAGGCCACAGCAACGACGGACAGCGGCAAGCTGCTGCTGACAGAGGAGGAGTGGGCTGCCTGGATGAAGAAGTCCGGGAAAGCCTCCTCCAGCCACGGTGGCGATGGCAAGCGCCACGCTTCTTCGAAGAAGAAGAAGAAGGTCGACCAAATGCCTGCCGGCGCTGCGGGAAGACGGGCCATTATGCAAAGGAGTGCCTAAATTGCATGCAGGAGAAGAAGGCTGAGGCTCATTTAGCGCAGCCTGATGAGGATGATGAGGCCACTCTCCTGATGGTGATGTTCTGTGCACTGCATGACGTTGAGGCGAAGGAGAAGGGAGAGGTGATGGCAGTGGATGGGTATGGCAAGGCTCTGAAGGCTGTCAACCTCGACGAACCACGCGCCCAAGTCCACCTTGGACGTGTGGGCGGCGGATAGGAGTAGCGGTGGTACCTGGACTCCGACGCCAGCAACCACATGACGGGCTCCAAGGAAGCTTTCACCGAGCTCGACGGCAACGTGACCGGCATGGTGAAGTTCGGTGCTGGCTCAAGGGTGGCAATCCGAGGGCGCGACACCATCATCTTTAGGTGCCAGAATGGTGAGCACCGTGCATTGACGGATGTGTACTACATCCCGTAGCTGCGTTCAAGCATCGGGCAGTTGGACTAGCACGGATGCGAGGTACTGATTGAGAGCGGGATCCTGAAGATTCAGGATCGGGAGCGGCGTCTTCTCGCGAAGGTAAAACACTCACGTAATCGATTGTACCTGCACGACTTGAAGGTGGAGCAGCCGGTGTGCCTGGCAGCACGACACACAAAGGAGCCGTGGCTGTGGCATGCCCGGTTCGGCCATCTTAGCTTCGACGTGCTCGGTCGGCTGGAGAAGATGGTCTGAGGGCTACCCCACATCAAGCACGCAGGCAAGCTGTGTGACAGCTGTCTGGCCGGGAAGCAGAGGAGGCTGCCGTTCCCAAAGGCGGCCAAGTATCGCGCGGCAGACGCTCTCGAGCTTGTCCATGGCGATCTCTGCGGGCCAATCACGCTAGCCATAAACGGTGGTCGGCGGTACCTCCTCCTACTCGTGGATGATTGTAGTCACTATATGTGATTGTATCGATGTTTTACCACCGATAGCCTACCACGGGGGTACCCGGGACAGTTGTTCGGGCTTCGACGAATAGCGGAATTCGGTGGTTACGCAAAGAGACTCACGATTTATACTGGTTCAGGCCCTCGACTTAGTCGAGTAATAACCTTACGTCCAGTTTTGGCGTTAGCCTGTTTGCGTTGTATTGCTTTGAGTATCGGGTATGCGTTCTCCCTTTACAATGGATACCCTCACCAGCCCTTTATAGTCCAGGCGCTGAGAGGTGTTGTTTGTGTCCTATTCGGATACAAGGTCAGAGTCCTAAGCTACGCTTCGGGCGTCTTTCCTTGTATAGTTTGCGTTGGAGTTTCGGTTTTGCACGTTGCTTTGCTCCGTGTTCTTCTTGGTGATTGGGTTGTAGGCCTTGCTACCAAGGCCTACCTCCCTGCAGTATGGTCTATGGGGGGCTCGTAGGGTTCCCCATTGATAAGCCCCTGAGCATTTCATGATTGAGCTTCAAGGGTCGAGTTGTTGTAGTCTTGATCCGGGTCCATTTTGAAGTGAAATCTTGAGATGGTCTTCTTTGATTCTTCTTTTGGTTGATGTGCACTTTTGCTTGACGTCCTCCGGGTTCTTTTTCCTTTGAGTGCAGCGAGTGCAAAAGCTGGAGGGTCAAAAAAATTGAAAATATGTTTTTCTGTGGTAGGTACTTGCAGCCCCCGAGCCTTCTCTGGGTTCTTTTCTGTTGAAAAGAAGCCGGAAGAAGGGTCTTGATTTGTACTCCTTTGATCTTTGTCTTTTGCTGGTCATGGATGGGTCTTGTATGGCCATGAGTGAGCGTCTTCTTTTACTTTTTGTCAGGAGTCTTGCTTTTGGGTACTATTCGTCTTTTTTGCTTTGCTCTTTTGTTCTTTTCCTCTCTCTTTCTTGTGATCTTTAGCCTTGTTTACTTCTGGTTTGCTATAAATACCTTCTTTGTTGGTTGTGGTTCTGCCTTGAGTAGGAAAATTCTTCTTCAATTCTTTCTTCATTCGTAGATATGCTGGTGTGTGAGGTTGAGCAGCCCCTGGGCTTATG